TCTGTCACCCATTTAAAACATCTGGTCATTGGTTGCTGAGAGACTGGCCTGCCACTCCTCTCCAGCTAATACGTTTGATGAAGTGGGCATAGACTTGAAGCAGCATGAAATGAGTTGCCTGTTTCTGCCATCCAAGCCCAGTCCAACTCCATGCCTAACCGGGTAAGGGCCATTTTAGCTGCCAGAGGTGTCAGCTGTTTCAACTAATCCCCCCTTGTAAATCCCCAAATTCATGGTGTTGCAGTTTTAATGACTGGCAGTGTAGCACAATGTTAGAAAAAAATCAGCAATTGTATTCAAACTTCTACGAAAATTCTTTAACATTGTAATTTGATCATACATAGCTCATAGTTTATAAGTAGTATTAGAAGATTTTATAGCATCAGTGGAATGAGTCATTTTGAAATATTTCTTGATATTATATGATTGTTATCAACAGTCAACATTATATGATTTTTACCAACAAGAATCTGTGATAATTAAATGAGATTGATAGAGATCGAGTTGTCAAAATATTAAAAATCAATCATGTATTAGGACAAAGTAGCATTCAAATTACAAACTGCTCTTGATATGAGTAAGAACTGTCTAGCTTTGTATAAGCATGAATTGGTGATCATTAAGTGATAAATACCATGTTTTTTTTTTAAACTAAATTTTAATTTAGGAATTTTTTAAAGACCTGCCATTTATGATCAGTATCCTACAGAAATTATTATATCAGATATTTTGTGATTTTCGTACCTTTTTTAATTTTGTTTTTATTAATTACTTTTTTTTTATTTGTTTTAGTTTATGCATTTGTGTACAATTTTTTATATTTTCTGTTTTTATAAAAAGTAAAAATGTTGTTACAATTTGAAATTTTTATAGAATAAGATGCAAATCCATTGTGAAAATTTGCATAGCTCACTGCTGCTTGTGAATGAACAGATAATAATTCATTAAATAAATTAAAATAAAATAAAATTAAAATAAAAATTCAAATTTATTTCTTTTAGTTTAAAATACAGAGTGTTTCAAAAAGAATATCTATATTATAAAGTGTTATTTTGTTCAAACTGTCAATCACTACGCCTCGGCTTGGCTATTGGCAAAATGAATACATAGTTTATATTAATAGCCGCTAGATCTCAGTTGTTTTCTGTTTTGCGTGGTAACCGTCACATCTTTAAAATGGTTACTCCGCAGCAGAAATTATTTATGTTCTCGAGTTTGCGAAGTGCAGTTCCGTGATTACAGTCCAAAGACGTTTCAAGTTGAGGTACCAAAGTGATCCATCCTCCAAATGGGTAAAACATTCACAGATGGTATTGACAGCTTAATTTGGAAATACAGGATGTGTATGTAAAGGAAATGGCTGCCCTCATGTTCCTGATGAAAATGTTGCACCAATTGAAACTGCTTTCCAACGTAGTCCTTCAAAATCAACTCGTCGTGCCAGTCGGGAGTCACAACTGCCTACAACAACAATTTGGCGTGTTTTGAGACGTCGGTTGGTTATGAAGCCGTGCAAGTTATATTTGTTACAGGCTCTGCATCCTGATGACAAACGCAAACGTGTGGCATTTTGTAACAAGATTATTGATGCTTTTGACAATGATAACAGTTTTGCACAGTGCATCGTATTCAGTGATGAAGCGACTTTTCATGTTAATGGTCATGTAAACAAACACAATGTTCGAATTTGGGGCCTACAGAACCCACATCCAGCCATTGAACATGTACGAGATTCGCCCAAAATCAATGCGTTTTGTGAAATATCCTGATCATTTATTTACATCCTATTTTTCTTTGATGGAAACACTGGTAACGATCAGCAGTATTTCACTATGCTACAAAATTGGTTGTTTCTGAGGCTGCACGAAGACAACTTCTTTTTCAACAAGATCCCCCCCCCACTGATGTCGGCAAGTGCGTGATTATCTGAACGAAACTCTACTGAACCATTGGATTGGTCGGCAAGGAGCTGGCGACTTAGCATGTCTCATCTGGCCTCCACGCTCACCGGATTTGACACACTGTGGCTTCTTCCTGTGGGGTTTCATTAAAGACAACATTTAGTTACCACCACTCCCACAGAACCTAGAAGAGGGGAAGAACCAGATCCGTACGGTCATAACATCAATGACGATGAACGTGCTTGCCCGAGTATGGGAGGAATTTGAGTATCGATGTGATATCATTCATGTTGCTGATGGAGAATATATTGAACATCTGTAATCTGAACTGGAGAGGTTCATACATATGTGTGTAAAGTTTCATATTTGTATGTCATACAGTTTAATAAATATATGCATTCGAAATACATATATTCTTTTTGAAACATGCAATGAATAAATTTTTCTCATAACAATTTTTATTGAATTTTGGATCAGACCACATATTTTTCTCTAAATATATTAGTTTATGATATCTTTGAGTTATGATAAAGGCTAAAAGAACAAGTTGCAGTCTGTCCCCTCTTCCTGAATAGACAAGAACTCCGGAAAATTTTAAATTCATGATTACATTATGATTAAAATTAGAATTAAATAGGAATCAAATATAACAATGACTTTAAACTATTTAAATTTAATTACAAATAAGCTTAAATAAATATAAAAGTGGTCAAAGGGAGAGAGGGAGAATAAAAGTGTGATGAGGAAATCATATTTAAAAACATTTTCATATTGCTAAATTGTTTTTAATTTTTAAATATGTTGAATCTGTTAATATTCATTTTGGAATATGAAATCTAATATATGTTTTAAGTTGCTTTTTCAGTGATGCTTTCAGTTTTTCGTAGAGGTGGTTAAAAAAATTAGTAGATGTGTATGCTGTAATTTATATACAGTCAAAAGTCTTTAATCCGGACTCATCGGGACTTCGGCGATTCCGGATTATCGATTTTTCCTGGATTATAGATCATTAGTTTAAATCTGGTAAGATGGCATGCAGAAATTATAAAATTAAAAATATGAAACCGTAATTTATGAAATAAAGAGCAATTATGATCTAAAGTATATCAAAATTTACCAAAAAAAAAAAAAAAAAAAAAAAAAAAAAAGCTTAATATTTATTTGTTTACTTTATTAAACATTTCTTTCAACGTGCGCATGCGTAAAGCATACATTACGCATAGTCGAAATTAGAAAATTGAAACCAGAAAACTATTTGATTTGTATTTGTGATATTTATAATGACGAGGAATTTGATTTAAATCATATCAAAGATGGAGTACATCGAGATGAAATACTACGTTTAGTAAGGAATTATAAGCCGAATAAAATAAAAACATCTGCCTTTGAAGAAAAGGATAGTGCTGACAGATCAGCTTCCAGTTCATTGTGCGCCGCTACGTCCTACCTGATGCTAAAGCAAAGTTTAAAGAAATTAAACATTTAGCAGTAGTAGCAATAAAAGCTCCCTGAGATATGTTGTGCAGACATTGAAGACAATAAAAGATTTTTAACTTAACCAATTTATTAACAATATAATAAATAATAAAAACACAGAAAATAAATTTCAACAATATCAGAATCTTAGGAAAAATATAATATAACCATCATTCATCAAATAATATTTTTACCTGGTCTCCAAACACTGGCATTCAATACAAATAAATGTCCTAAACAGTAATTATGCGGCCTAAAAATGAAGTTGGCTACACATTCAATAACGTCCCATGATCAATGGTTCAGAGAAAACACCTGAAAATTTTAAATGAAAGTTCTTGAAAGCACTTAAAACTCGGCCTAACTCCGTTTGCACAAGGAATCGCCGCTCACGTATTTTAAATTGCCATCTTCATTGAAGAACATGGATGCCGCCCACGGCAGTCACTCACATGGTAGAAATCTCTGGAACCAAGGAACTTTATTCTGGAACAATCATTTTATGGATATGAACCAAGGAACTTTTTCCGGAACATTCGTCCCGTGGACAGGCACCAAGGAACTTTATTCAGGAACAGCCATCCTGCAAACCAGAACCAAGGCACTTTAATCACCGGACTGCATGCATCCTTCTGAAGGGCCAGGAAAGCAGGAACTAGAAGGGGTTGAGCCAGAGCGACGCGAGATACTTATAGCAGAAGTAGGAATGACGTCATCTCACGGCAACCAATCAGCTATCGGCACGAATCGGCTTTTCAGATGACGTAACGTCACGTATCATTTTTGCATCTCAATTAGGTTGAAACAGTCCGTTCTCAATGCAAACAGTGGCAGCAAGAAAAAGAAGTAGAAGTAACTACTATATTACATTAAAATAAGAACTAAACTAAATAAACATTTCAAGGAGGAGAGATGATGCAGTAAAAGGTTTAAAATAATATATATTTTCCAACACTACCCCCCCCCCGGCGCAGAGCAACGTGAAATTGATAAACAGATTTCGAAATGGTTAGAGAAACAAAGGAGTCTTTATCCATTTTTTGCAGCAATTCCACTTTTTGTTTGATGGACATCAAAACATGCTTTCCCTTTGTTGATCCTTTGGCAGCTCCAGCATCGTGAATTCTATTTGACATAATCGAAAGTTCCAACCTACGTTTATAAAATTGCTCTAATAGTCTGCAAAAAATAATAAGCCAGATCCAATTCGAAGATTAAGGAACAACGCAATCTGCAACATTAACTAAAATAGATAAATAGATAATTTTAGCTTAGCTTATACCGTCTGTTATATATTAAACGTGCATGCGTGAACATATTATGCACATGCGTACATGTATATGCGCATGCGTGAAGGTATTATGCCATATGTTGACGCATGCGCAGAAAGTTTGTAGCTTTGAAGTCCGGATTATAGATCATTCCGGATTATGGGTGTCCAGATTAACGACTTTTGACTGTATTTATCTAATAATATTCAAGTCCATTAGAAGTGAAGCACGTGATTTTTTTTTTTTTTGATTGGGAAAGTAACAGATTATACATGAAGAGCAGTTTTATGTATGATTGTTTAAAAATCTAAGCTTGAGTTTCTACTGTTAAAAAAATATTTTTGCTTTACAGGCGATCAGCTTCTAGTAGTGACAGCACAAATAAGATTCGTTTAAAACCAGAGAAAAGGCAAGCTTCAAGTCCTTCTCTAAATCCTGCACAACTGAATCCTCGCTTTCTTTGGATAAGATTAGCTTTATTTGAAAAAAAATTAGCAAAAATTGTCGATCATCTCGTTCAAAACAGCAAGTATGTTTTATATGTGGAATATTAATAATTATTATCTGCTGTGTATAAATTACAAATATAGAAATTGAAAAATCTCTCTGGAGTTATTTATAAATATATATTAAAATAAAGGTAAAACATTAAAAGGTGTTTGATTAAAAGTCCATATTATAATCAAGTATTTCTTATTTGTTGTATATTTTATGCTTTTTAAATTTTGTTCTTTCATTTATTCATTTTCTTGAGGCTATGCAAGCCACAGAAAAATAAAACTTTAGAGGAGTTAGACTGCACTTTATTTTATGAATATATATTTCAATATATTTTGCCATCTAAAAATCCATTCCAAAACTATTATTCCTACAGTAGTTATATATTTAAAAGCCATGTGTAAGTATCTTGTAAAAACAAGAATGCACTTTAAGATTGTAAAATATTAAGAAATGTTATTAAAGTCGGCACTAAACACCAACTAATGCAGGGCAAGACCAGTTACAGTTTTTTTAATATTAATTTTCAATATTTTTTGAGTTCTCCTGGAATCTTGACTCAATCTTTGTGATTTAGAATGAAACAAGATAAAAACATTTGCAGTATCTCTCTCATTGGCTAAAATTCCATGACGATCCTTCAAGGGGGCCCTAGTAATTTGGGAAGGGGCAGTCCTCAAGTTGTTAACATACTTAAAAACATTCTTAGAATCAAATTTATAATTAATCGTGCTGATAAAAGAATTAAAACTATTCCACTGTGCCTCATAAATTTCCTTTGGAAGGAAAGCAACACTTTGCCGCCGGTTTTTGAACTTCCTCGGCCCTGCTCAGCAGAAATACGTGCCTTGTTGCACTGGTCTCTCAGAGCCTGGAGATGTAGAGACCAGAATGGTTTGTAATTGTGAGGTTTCCCTCTGGGAATCCTTTTTTTAGCAACTTTGTGGATTGTCTCACAGAACCACTTAAACGAAGCATCAATCCTCCCAATATGGAATATATTATCATCTTCAAAACCCTGTTCTCGACCTGCAGTAAATGAATTCCAGTTGCCTTTTTTAAAGTTCCATCTGCGATGTGGTCTACTATAGTTGGCATTTCTTTTTACAGGAGTATTTCCCTTGATTATTGTAATGATTGCTGTGTGTCCAGAGCCAGGGTTGTAAATTACATTTCTTATGGCGTTAGGTGCTAGATCATCTGATACCATAGTTAGGTCAGTATTTGTAGACGTGCCGTTGTAATGGAGGTAGGTGAGAACATCGAATGAGTGGTATAGAAGATTTAAGGAGGTTGATTTGTGTAGATCTTTTATAACTCTATTTGCACTATTGTAGTCAGCATAGTTCCATCTAGTGCTATGAGCATTGAAATCACCCATTAGCACTGCTTTTCTGGAGAAAGAGAGGGTGTCAAAATTAAATTTTGTGTTACCGGGTGGGCTGTAGCACATAAAAATTGTAAAATGGACATCATTTTTTCAAACTTCAATGAAAACCAACTTAGTGCCGCTGATAGAGTCTAAGTCACTAATAATTGGGAAAGAAGGAGTAAGAGATTTCTTTAGTCCAACAGGAATACCTCTTGTAACTCGTCTTGATTTAGGTAGTATATGTAAGGAGTATCTAGGGAAATTGTGGAATTTTAAGGATTCCAAAGTCAGATTCGTTTCAATAATGGAAAACACATCAACATTCTCCTTATCAAGAGCAGTTAGAAGTTAAGTCATTTTTTCATGTGAGAGGCCACCAGCATTCCACTGAAGCAGTCTCAAAACTTTACACATCTTACAAAAATTCTTTGTAAAATGTCCAGAGACACAGGAAGGAAGCAATATCTTTTAATATATGATTGTTTTTAACATCTTTTTAAAACCAGCATTATAAATTTTATGTGTAATCTGCTATACTAAACTACAAAATATCCTTATATTGTGATCTAAACAATGCCTTTCTTAACAAATAATTTTTAAAAATAAAATAATTTTTTAATAGTGACCATATAAATCTTCATTAAAATGTGTTTGACAGTCACAAGTGTAAAATATAATTTTTTCAAAAACTAATTTTCCTAATTTAATATTAGCTACTTGAAAAGTTTTCAAGAATTAGTTTTATTTTCCAACTCTTACTGTTTAAAATGATGAATCTTGTTCATAAATAATTCCAGATAGAATTTAAAAAGTAATTCTAGTCCTACTATTATTTAGAGAGAGCTTCGAGTGCACAACTTTCCGTCACATATCCATGAAAGAACATTGTTTCCATGGTGGTGGTGGTGTTCTTTTCTGGGGAGGAATCGTAAAAAATTGCTGCAGAGTTACATTCTATAACTAATTATACACAGATAATGTTCCATATCTAAAAAATAGTTGTTTAGATGTGCTGTAGATTCTTCCCCCCTTCTCCTTCGTGGAGGACAATACTTAACCTCACTTGAACTACTCAGATTGAAAATATTCAAATTGAGAATATTGTTTAAATAGATTGGCTACTGTACTTAACTGACTTCTTGTTTGAGTATGTCTTTGGTGGACAAACTCCATTCTTGGAGTCCCAATAAATTCAAATTTCGTCTCTAAGAAGAAGGACGTTTTATCACTATGTGAAAGGATGTTTAGAAATTTGAATTTTGGCTGTAAGCTGTCATATATCCTCTTAAATACTATTTAAGTTAGAGAATGGAGCAATTTTTTTTTTTTTTTTTTTAAATTTTATATGCAGTGTTTGGCATTAAATATATTAGCAATACTTATAAATAAGGCAGTATTTGTATATATTTTTATATGCAATATTTGTACAATTTTTACATTTTCTTTTGTTTTTTTAGTTGACTTAAATTACTATCTTTTATTATCCTTTCATTTTGAGAAGTTATTTCAGACAGGCACCAGACATTTTTATTTATATTATTAAGTTCTGCTCATTGCAGCGTATAAAATGCTGAGTAACAACTGAGCTCTTTGATTCTACAGTATTTCATTCTTAGTGTGATGAAGAATAGTAGGTACATTTTCGTTAGAGCCATTTAACATTTTCCCTTCCTTTTTGATTTGCCGTATTTCCTTGGTGCTATGTGTCATGAGTTTGGTTTGTTGCTTTGAATTTTAATTTATATTAAATAACTCTTAAGGTATTATTAAGTAAGTGATTCAGAGCTACATAAAATTTTATTTATTTAACATTAAACAACCAGAAAAGTATTTATTACCTTTTACAGTGTGCAAAGAAAAGACAAGCGGTAACATTACATTTCAATATCTTTAGAACAGTGTTTCTAAGCTACAGTAGGATGTTACCAGTAGAATTATACAAACAAGTTAGACATTGCACATGCAAAAAAAAGCATAAAATAAATGCATTAAATAAATTTGAGTTCATAACATTAACACTTCCCCTTGAACTCAATTTATAAAGTAATGTTTACAATACCAAGAGGAGCTCTTAGAGTTTCAAAATGCTTTCTTGGCAATAGTTTTCTGAAAATATCAGCAAGTTGTTCATTACCAGAGATATAATCAACATAGAGGTCGCCATTTAAAACTTTTTAACGTACAAAGTGATACCTAACATCTATGTGTTTAGTTTTTTGATGATATTCTGGGTTTTATTCAGGCGAACAGTATTTGCATTGTGAACCTGTAGTGATGGGGTTACTTTCAGAGTAAGGTATTTTCTCGCAGTTTATGCGATCGTCATCATCTTCCCCTTCAAGCTGACACTTCTCAACAGGTATAGAGACAGGATTTGCATTCTACATATTAAACTTCTTTAAAATTTTGGTGGTATAATTCAGTTGGCCAATAAATATATCACCATTACTTAACCTTTTTATCTCAAGACTCAAGAAAAATTCAGCATTTTTATAAGTTACTTTAAATTCTCTTTGCAATTCTTAAAAAAAAATTGACTTTAAACCTATGTGTAGTGACAGCAAGCCCGTTATCAACAAATAATGCTAGTAACAACTTTTTTTCTTCATCAATACTGCAAAACAAACATGGATCAGCCTTGCTCTCCTTCAGACCATATTGTGACAAGAAATTTTTGAATTGTCTATTCCAACAACGAAGAGACTGCTTAAGCCCATACAGACTTTTTACCAATCTACACACTCTGCCTGACTTGTCATCATAACTTTCAGGCTGAAACATCTAAATCTTTTCATTCAATGTTCCATGCAGAAATGCAGTTTTGACATCAAATTTTATCATATCTAGACCTTCATTAGCAGCAACACTAATCACAGAGCAAATAGTTTCAAAACGTACCACAGGATTAAACATTTCACAGTAATCGATGCCTGTCTTTTGGAAAAAATCTTTAACCACCAACCAAGCTTTAAATTTGTCGATGTCTCCATTTGCACAACATTTCACTTTGTAAACCCATTTATTTGAAATAGCTTGTTTGCTCTCTGAGAAATCAGTTAAGCAAAATGTTTTATTTTCTGATAAGGATTTCAGCTCTTCATCCATTGCAGCCTGCCATTTCAAGGCATTATCCGAATTTACAGCTTGGCAATAATTCTCTGGTTCCACATACTCCACAAAACAACACTTGATTAATCTTTTAGGTGCTTTTAGGTTTTGCCGATTTCTCAGCTGTCTTCCTGGTTTTATGTCCTCATTAGATGGTTCTGGGTTATTTTCCTCTTCATTGGTGTCAGATAAGTAAGGTTGTACATTGATAGGCTGTTCAGGAATTGATGTAACAGCAGTGGATGATGAAACAAATTCTATAGTAAATACTACTTCTCTAGTTTTTTTTACTTCACTTGTACCTCTTAATCATACCCGATAACCATCAACATCATCTAAATAACCAACCAATATTCCTTTCTCACTTCTTGGACTCCACTTCCTTCGCTTCTGTTTAGGTACATGAATAAAACATTCTGTACCTCTAACTCTAAGGGAATCAAGTCCTGGAGTTCTGCCACAAAACAATTCAAATGGAGACTTGCCATCTGCTGATGAGGTTCCAGCACGGTTTCATTTGCATACAGCAGTATTAACTAACTCAGTCCTCG